GTCGCACAAGCTCCAGTGAATCAAACCAAGTTTCTCTCTCTCAAAAAATAAATTCATAATTGTTACGGATTTTAACCGAAACTTGAATCGTTCAGTTTTTACAAGCATTATGCAGTCCAGTTTTGTGGTATGTTCAAGTGGATGCCGCAATTTGTGTGTGTGTGTGATATACCCTATTGAAATTGAGTTTAGAAGGGTAAAAGATGGCCAAGCCCATAAAGTATAGAGACACTCGTTCAGGACGAAGAGCTAATACGATTCATCCATATTCGGTTCTCCGTCTATTTGTCTGATCTTGGTAACCACGAAAATTAGAGATTTCTTCGAATATATATTTTCGTATATCAAACGTAGGACGTTTTATTCGGTTTTCTTCAATATTTGCGCTCAGTTTTATAATAATAATAATATTTTTAATCCGCCTTTTCAAGCATAACTTGGATAGAAAGAGCTATCGCATTTGGTATATATCATTGCATATAACTAGCAAAATATTTTTGGATTTCTGGATAACTCCTCACCATGAAAGTTTAAAATTAGTCAAAGCTATCCTCAATCAAGGTCATACCAGTTGGGGTATATCTTAGTCGGCTAATGTCGACTAGAGTACATACATACCCGTTGCTTATGGTATTTTTCTGCTTTTTAGTTAGCGATTGTCTTGGCCGGCGTAGCGCTGGTTGCTGCTCGTCCAGAGCCACCGCGTGATACGTACAGCGCCCCACCATCAAGCAGCTATCAGCCGAGCGGACCCAGCGGCGGCTACGGTGCACCTGCACCACAATATGGACCACCACAGCAGCCGCCAGTTGTGCACAAGCATGTCTACGTCCATGTGCCACCACCAGAGCCAGAGTACCAGGCCCCCAGGTGAGTCAAAGGGCTTGAACCATATGTTTCTCAAGCTTAAATTAAACTAATAAATAGACAATAATTGGAATTCAAATAGATCAGTTTCTGATTTGTATCAGAGTAACAAAAAATATATAAACGAAACTAGGTATGATCCTTAGAAGGTTATTATGTTCGATTATTAATCTGTACATATCATTATTTAAAAGAACTAGTCCTATTCCATAAATACCATACTGGTTCGCAATTGATTATATCTATGAAATAGAACTTTCACTAAAAATAGCTGAGTAGAGCTCAAATTAAAGCAGAGGAACAAATGTTCCGGAAATGCCGTAGGTAATATCATCATCAGTTGTTACATTTTTCATTCTCTAAGCAGAGCACGTTAAATAGTTTTAAAAGTATTTAAATGTTATTTTCAATATTCAACATTTTTCCATTTTAATTAAATTCTCTGATATTTATTTGTATAAACATAAAATGCCGCAAAATTCATACCAAATTATCTATTCGTCAAGTTACTTAAGTTGAATTTTAATTAAAGTATTTGGCTATAAAAAGACTTTGGACTCTATATTTTGGAAAACGTTCAAATACGTTTCCCCTACTTTAAACCCTCTAAATATTTCCAGTTATTCAACATTCATTTATTTCAGTATCTTGATAATGTACTCCTAGAGATCTCTGGTTTAACTCCACTTTGAACCATGTTTAGGCATATCTTCAATCAAATTATGTTTACAACAGTTTCTTTCTTGGCCCAAATTGCGCAAACATAATTTGCCATCTGATTGCAGCGAGAGATATATATTCCCACATTAAGGGAGCTTACGAACCATCTGGTTTGTTTGCCTGATGTCCCATTACAACTAATTGCAAAATGAATTGTCGTGTGTAGCTCCAGATATGACTATCCATGTACAATATGAGGTATCTGGGTAATGCCCCACAATTATGAAAATTCTCCCACAATTCATGGACTCTATGAGTGCTTGAGTACTTTGTTTAATATCTGACGCGGCAGCTGCGAGACAACTGTTGCGAAAACCTATGAGCGTTAATCATCTAATCCAGCTCAGGGCTACATAACTGTTCAGTTTTTGTTTTCGTCTTTTTTTTTTTGCATTATCATTTTTGTGAAGGGAGTAACAAGACTTTTTTGCTTCTATGCTGAAAGCTTATTTAATCGAGGAACTCCTCAAATGGGCAACAATTTAAGCTAAGCTTATCTATCTACCTCTCACTCTCTCTATCTCGCTCTCTTTCACTTTTTGTCACTGTAGTCAGAAAGCAATGTTAATTGCCAACTGGAAAAAGATATGGTGCTGAGGACAACTAAAGCGTGACTAAGATGTTACCTAAGCTACATATATATTTTTAACTTTACGTAGCTAATTATTCCATACGGAAAGGGAACTGGAAAGATAGAGAGGGACAGAGTGAGAGGGGGAGAGAACGAGTGCAATTACCATAGCGTTAATATAGAAGACTGCATATAATAGTTTATATAAGAGTTGAATTTCTAGTGGGCTGCAAATTGTGACAGTTTTCTTCTTCTTTTTTTTTTTTTTTTTGGCAACTAATTATTGCATACGAAAAGGAGAGTGAGTGCAATTACCATAGAGTGTGTATAAGAGTGGGCGTATAAGTGTTTATATAAGTCTTCAGGTGAACTGATAATGAGACAGTTTCGAAGTAACTGAGCTAGCTTGTTATTACTGCATACACATAGGCAGTCAGAGAGAGGAAGAGACAGAGAGAGTGTCTGTGTTTAAAATTACTATGCAGTGCTTAAAGAGTGTGAATATCAGACTTTATATAAGAGTCTAATTGCTAGTGGGCGGCGCATTGTCACAGTTCCTAAGCTCGTTTATTACTATTGCATATGCAAAGGGAGTCTGAAGAAGAGAACATGCAATTATTATAATATGTGCATGTGATTTTATATAAGAGTAATATATATATGAACTAGTGGTGATAATTTCGTTTCATCTAAATGATCAACAAACTATGCGAGGACTTCTCTGAAACCTTTCCTTGACTTCATCCGCTTTTTCCCATAGGAAACCTGTGTATGTGCCACCACCACAGAAGCACTACAAGATTGTGTTCATCAAGGCGCCATCACCACCAGCACCAACTGCTCCAATCATTCCACAATTCCCACAGAACGAGGAGAAGACTTTGGTCTATGTGCTAGTCAAGAAGCCAGAAGAGCAGCCAGATATTGTTATTCCAACACCGGCGCCAACGCAGCCCAGCAAACCCGAAGTCTACTTCATTCGCTACAAGACCCAAAAGGAGGAGACCGGACCCTACCCGAATGCCATTGCACCACCTTCGGAATATGGTGCACCCGCTGGCCCACCAGCACCATCGGCGCCCAGCAGCTCCTATGGAGCACCTTCCCATTAAACGAACCAACTCTGCCATCTCTGGCAACCCACCCTCCCCCTCCCCACTTCGAGCTAAACTTTACTGATTTTTTACTAATTTTTTTATTCATAACGAAAAAAAGAACAAAAAAAAATCATTTTGACGTGTGACAAAATTTACGAATTATCATTTTATATATGTATAGAATATGCCCCGATCCCTATCATTATTATTGTTGTTTCTTATGTAATTTTTTACCTCTAAACATTCTCCGCATAGGCTGTTTGTTTCAAATTGTTTTTGCCTAATCTTAAGTACCTAGTTCTTTAAGCACATGCGTTATATATACGATTATCATTTATACATATATATATATTGACCATATATATATCAATATACTTGATATGCATTTCAACTAGGCAAATATTAACTACGAATATTTCAGTAAATTGTTGTTGTTGAACGCGAACGAAGAAGACAATGAAAAAGCTACAAAAAAAAAATAATAAAATGAATGATACTCAAAACATTATTATTGTATATGTATAAAAACAATGGATCAAGAAAAATAAAAGTTATCTGAACTTACTATCTGATACACAATGCAGTTTTTCACATAAATATTCTTTTATTCAAAAAATAATGATAAACACCGTACAAAATATTAGAGTCGCTCTAACCAGGATCTAAAAGCATTTTTCATAAATACTTTTAAGCTACAGTATTACAATAATTTGAATTTTAAACTGTGGCCTAATATTAGCGCATGAGAGCGTTGCCATACTATGCAAATAATAACAGAAATTTTGAAGCATAGCACTGCCAACAGCTAACAGCGAAAGCAAAAAATATAACTTTCCAAATAAGCGCCTCAAGCTATACCCAAAATCAAAGGATAATTATATTCGTATTCGCCTTAGTTAGGCATTAAATTTAAATGGAATTTATTTCATTCTCAGTTATTTTACTGCCACTCTAACGGTAAACATTTGCCTCACATAGTTGAGAGCTCACTTCAGCTTTGCAATTTTAATTGAGACATTGTCAGGACACTTTCAACTGCTTTCAAACTGTTCTCCCCCTTCTATGTGCATATGCACATGTATCCTGTTCAAAGTCCATCCAAATCCCCGCCATAGATGCTTTTAAATACACAGACACACACACACACACACACATACATACACTCACTCAACGGCTTCTACTCGGCCTGTCAAATGTAAGCGAACTTAAAACACATCGTTTGCATTTTGGGCTGCCTGCCTCGGCCCCTCCTCCTCCTCACCGCCCCCTCACCTAAGCCCTCGCCTGCTGCAAACACTTAAGTGACGCTTCAGCTCCTCAACTATCAGCGTGAGTGTCTGTGTGCGTGCTTTTTGCTCCTCTTTTGTTGTTTTTCCTTAAATGTGTTTGAGTGTGTGTGTAACTTTTTTTTACAATATAAACATCATTTGCGTTGTTCCTTTTGTTTGAAGCCTCGCTGATTTTGTTTACCTGTGACTGCCGCCTGCCTAGCAGGCTGCCTTGTTGGCTGGCTGGCTGGCTGCCTGCCTTCCTGCTAACGGCACTTGCTGAAGAGAGCACGCCAGCCACTCTCTTAGTACAAAAGCGAAAGTCGTACAACCCCCACACAAAGGTGTACAGCATTGCCAGCTGCAAGCAGTTAGACAACGCTCTCTTCTACTGTCGCGCAAGCGTCGCGTGAGGCGGCTAGCATAAAGAGCGGCCAGAGTAGAGCTGAGCACTTGCCAAGCATTTGGTAGCGCCGTCCTGTGTTAGTTGCGATTGTAATGCCAACGCAAACGGAACGCGGCGGGCGTTCGCGTCGCGAGTTGTGTGCGTGTGTATGTGTTCGTAAAATGAAAATGTGTTTTTTTCGTTAGAGCCGGAGCAGCTAAAGAATCGTAGCTAAAATAAATCATGTATATCAAAATCGAAGAAGCCAAAGCGTTGCAGCCAAAGATGAAATCAACAACCAGAAATTGCCAGTCATAAAAAAAGGGTTTGTGCACGCTCCATGTGTATGTGTGTATGAGCACTAGATGTGTGTGGCTGTCGCTGTGTGTGAGTGTGTGTGCGTGTGCTTGGTGTGTTGTGCTAATATTGTTGTCCATACAATGCCATGGCATTCTATATAGCCCCTCTCCTCTCCCTCTCGCACTACTCCACTGGTTTGTTGTTGTTGTTGTTGTTGCGTACAATTAGAAGGCATTGCCAATCGATTTGTGTGAAAAGCCAAAAGCTCAAAAGGTGGAACGCCTCAAAGAAGTTCGCTGTCGCAGGTGCGCGACATCTGAAAAATGAAGTTGAGCCAAACGTCGGCGTCAACGTCAACGTCAACGTTGACGTTCGAGTTGCCAGTCATTCACAATAGAAACGTGCCATCAAAACAAGAAAGAAAGCAGCAAAAAAGCAACAGAAAAAGGAAGAAAAGAAACAATATTAATGAAAAGATGTTGCAAAAAATGTCACGTTCCTTATTTGAATTCGCATCATCATGTTAATGAAGGTGCTCCCCTAGAACCCTAAAGGCAAGCGTCTGCAATGCTTAAAGTTGAGCTCTTCAATTTATAACAAAGAATGTATATACATTAAGATATCAATGGGGAAACTTGATCGAAAACTGAATTGCAAACTTTTCAACGAAATTGGGAATGGTTCAAGAAATTCTTATTTGAATAAATTTGATAAAACATAGTCCTGAAACTTTATTTATTTTCCCTTAGCCAACATTTAGCATGGAATGCCTAGAGTTCTACGTTTCTACGTTCTAAAATCTATAGTCGCATATCAAATATAAATAATATGTAGTGATAGCTTTATATATTATTAATTTCAAAAATAAGTTCAACTAAAATAAACTCAAAGCTAAAAAATTCTAATAAAAAACATTCATTTTAAAAAATTAAGAAATTTAAATACCATATTCATAGCAAAAAGGATAAAAATCTTCAAAATTAAACAATTCTAAACTAAAAAACAATCAAATAAAACAAAAATGTTAAAAAATTAATACAAATATATTTCAATAACAGTTAATAGCCCTTATTAAAGATATAATGTAGTAAAAAAAATGTATTATAAACAATAAAAGTGTTCCCAAAAATACTTCCTAATAGTAAAATAAACTGCCTACCAAAAAGTTACTTAAAAAGTGGTGAACATAAACCCTTATATACGGACCTTAAGTGAATTTTATAAACTAAGCCTCAAATGAATAAAAAATGCAAAAATAATAACATAACAAAAAATATTACTTATAATAAAAAAAGGCAACAATCTTAGGTCTAAGCACCCGAAAGCCTACAACAAAATAGAAGCTCTTCACTTTTTGGTAAAATTACGAGCGCCCAGAACATAAACTTAGGAGTCAAATATAAGACGAGCACTTGCTGCACGAATAACTGATATAATTGTAAATAAACATAAAATAAACAAAAGAGTCCTTACTGAAAACTGCTTTCTGCAAGAGAAATTTCAGTGAAATAAAAACCAAAGTACCGCAAATAGATAAAATATATATATATATACATCTATGCTTGGACGATGCTACAAGTGAATAAAAACACCCAAACCCTTAAAAAAAAACTCAGTGAATCATAAGAGTGGGCGAGAGACAGAGAGATTGAGTCGAGTCGAGTTGAGTTGTCTGTGAAGCATATGCCCAATAAACAGATGCCCCATAACCATAAAGCGAAAGTGTTATGGCCATTACCATAGGACGGCAGGACCTCGTCCTAAGTCACAGTTGTCCCTTCTTGGCAGAAATCACAATTTATGACATTACACATAAAATCTGCACACAATGTAGCGAAAGGAGAAATTCTTGGCAAAACTTTTACAGCACACTGTTGGATCCTTATTAACTAGTGGTTGCTACATGTACCTCTTCTTCTTCTTCTTGCATTCTTTCCTGCCCCATGTCTGGCAAATACAGAAGTGCTTCCAAAAAGTAAGACACAGACACACAATCACACGGACATTAAGAGTATGGAAACGGAGTTTTGTGGCCGTGGAGCAATGAGCGCCAGCCAAACGCCGCGTAATGGTGGCTTCTGTGGTGCACTCCAGCGTGCACCGCCAGCGATGCCGCCGGCTCTGCAACGCCGTCTCTCCAGTCGGGAATGCTATGGCGTTGGCAAAGTCAAAGTCATGTTACGCGTCGCCGACAAAGCGGACAGCGGCGCCGACAGCAGCAGCTGCCTTGAGTCTGGCTGCTTTATGGCGCTCGACAAGAAGAAGCGACAGGTGACACTAACGGATCCGAAGACCGTCTCGGCACCGCAGGCCCAGGAGCGAGCACCCATGGTTGCGGCACCTAAAATGTTTGCCTTCGATAATCTATTCACAGCAGAGGATAAACAGGTGAGTGGACGTTAGAGGATAGATGGAATAGATAGATAGATAGGTGGATAGAAAATAGATGGAATAGATACATAGATAGGTGGATAGATAGATAGATAGATAGACAAATAGATGGATAGAATAGTTATTGTTAAAGGGAGAAAGTAAAATCTATGAGAAACCTAAGAAAGTTCTAGGGCTTAGAGAGCTATAGAGTTCTAGTTCGAGATTTTTTTGAATTTCGAAATGAAGAAACGATTTTTAGTTTCTAGATAATAGACGAGGGACAAATGTACAAAAGTAGAAAATGATAAAACACTTAAAAATTAGAAAAAACATTTGGAATCGGTGCATAAAATATGCAAAAAGTAAAAGAAAAACAAAGTCCACAAAAATTTCAGCTATGATACGCAAATAACAGCGCGATTAGTATATTAGAGTAAAGATAAAGCAAAACTTGAATCTAGGAGAGTTCTAAAAGAAGAGAATATACGATGGATAAGCCAGAAAAGTAGGCATCGGATATAGATAGAGAAATTGTAAAGGAACGTAAAAAATGGATTAGGCAAAATAATATCAGAGATACATTTTGGAATTCTAAAGTAAAGGATTACAAATGCTACAGAAATTCCAAATTTTACAAATTGATGTGGACGAAGATGGTTGAATATAAAGATATAACTGATCAAAATCATTTATTATAAATAGAAAGGATCTAGCAAAATATCGTTTTTAACTTAATCCGCCAATATCCCTATAAGTACGCTTTTGGGAATCAATTATCAATTTGTAAACAAATGAGTACATTCTATCTTGTCGTTGTATATATTTTTACCTAACCCATATTATTTCTCTTAATCACGCACTACATGTGCTACATGTGATAACTTTTTAACATATATATATAATTTACATCAAGTATAATAAATGTTTTTCATTCGAAAGGCTTAGTTTACCTTTCTTTTTCATTCCCATGCCAAATAATCTACCATACCTTGGCTTCCGTTCGTTATTACAATTTCTTTGGTTAGGTCTTCTGAAGTTTTACCGGATATCACATAAAGCATACCCAACTGAATATTCTTTCATCATATTCACAATCCCCCCATTCCCTCTCTCTTTCTATACTTTGCAGTCGGATGTTTGTGCGGCGGCCTTAAGCGAGGTAATACCCGCCGTGCTGGAGGGTTCGGATGGTTGTCTGCTGGCCATGGGCTATCCGGGCACGGGGCAAACGCAAACGGTGCTCGGCGACCTGGGAGCTGGTGCTTTGGGCGCAGCGCCCTGTGCCATTGCCTGGCTGTATAAGGGAATTCAGGAGCGTCGACAGAAGAGCGGAGCCCGGTTCTCTGTGCGGGTCAGTGCGGTGGGCATCAATGCGACCAAGCCGGACGCTCTCTCCACGGATTTGCTCATCTCACATGCAGCTGGTAAGCAGAGCAAAGCGAAGAGAGAAAGTACAAAGGGCCGCCACCTGTTAGCAGAAGTTGGGCTATAAAGAGGAGGGCGTGCTTGTGGGCGTGGGCGCTCATAATGTTGCCCCTGGGCCAGCTGATGATAATGTTGTAGCGGGGACGCTGAGGGTTAGCGGGTTGCGGGGGTTAGGTCCCCAATTTGAATAAAGTTAACCTGTGAGGCTGTAACGAGCAACCCCACAGTCCCCACAGCCCCCACAGCCCCCACAGCCCCCACAGCTCGCTTCGACTCCAATGAATGCTAACTACAGTCGAGTGGCATTTATATGAACATAAAAGCTAATGCTCTTTTCATTCACTCCACACGAACACGAATCCCACACAGAATCTGACGACTCCCCGGGGATTTATTTGCGTGACGACTTCCTTGGCGGCCCGACGGAACTACGTGCACCCACCGCGGAGCGTGCAGCGCTATTTCTTGACTCCGCATTGGCCGGACGTTTAAAAAGTTCCGGAACAGGCAATTCCAGCAGTTCAACAGCGACGTTGGAGTCCGCACTCATCTTTACGCTGCACGTCTACCAGTACAGCCTGTCCCGCAAGGGCGGTGGTAAGTCCTATTACTACTCAGCCACTTCAGCCACCAACCCACCCAGCTTACCCCACTCCATATGATGTGCCTTCCCCTAGTTGTAGACATTGTTGTTGCCACACTCAAGTGGCCCGCTAAATGTTTCACTAGACAGCCAGACCATTAAAGTGTCGCATTTCTCACCCACCCCAACCACTACATCTCTCTCTCTCTCTCTCTCTCTCTCGTACTCTCTCTTTTGTTACAGTTGCTGGTGGCCGGAGCCGTTTACATATCATCGACTTGGGCGGCTGTGCCAATCGCAGCGGTGGTCTTCCACTTTCGGGCATTGGCAATATTTTGTTGGCCATATTGAGCGGTCAGAGGCATCCGCCCCACAAGGACCACCCGTTGACGCCGCTGCTAAAGGACTGCCTGGCCCCCATTACCTGCCATGTGGCAATTGTCGCACATGTCCTGCAGTCAGCGCATTCGTATCAGGATGCTTTGGCCACCATACAGATTGCCTCGCGTATTCATCGCTTGCGTCGTCGCAAACACCGTGTGCCCATGCCCCTGGCTGTGGGTCTGGCCCAGGGCCTGAACTCGGGCGGTGCGGGCTCCTCGGCTGGGTCTGGCGCCGATCCCTCCAGCTCGGAGATCTCAGCGGACACTGTCATCTATATGGGACCCCATGATGATGCCACCGACGGCGAGCATCCGCCTGTCTATCTGCCCTCGCTCAATGGCTCCACGGATAATCGCGCCCTGCTCGGCAAGGCCTTGAAGGGCAGCGGTGCAGAGAAGCCAACGGCGCCACAGCTCAAATCAAACTGCGCCAGTCCACTGATGAAGAAGGCCGCCGTGGAGAAGGGTAAGTGTTAATGTTGTCAGCCAAACTGCTGTCAACCCCTCGTTCATTAGTTCCAGATCCAGGCATTGACAGGCTTTGCTTATGAGATTTTAATTGAAATTCCTCGAGTCATTAGATTTATGCCCCAGAGATAGTCAACAATATTACTCCGACAGATTTAGCTCGGATCTAATGTCACTTATCAGCACTGACACAGCTCCAGTACTGGCTAAAAGAGCGACAGCTGGCAGTTAGTCTTTGATGGGCTGACACTATGTGGGGGTTGTTAGCTGGATGAACACCTTGAGCTTACAAATACATGTTGACACTTGAGAGATTTACATTAGGAGTAAATGTGGCATGATATGCAATCAAAATAGCGGCAAATATTTCGAATTAATTGAAGCTTAAACGGGGTCTCGTGGAGGTGAAACCTTTGAGACCGACTCTCCTCAAAGAATTTATTGAATTATCTCATTCGTCTAGAGATGGTCTTAGAGAGGTTTTTATACTGCTCTATGATCTTAAGTAAAGATGGGAAAGTGGTCTTAGGAACTTCTTGTCTAATGATTAACTTATAAGGAAGCGTGGATTTTTGTTCACAGCTAATGTGGTCCCTTATCCCTAGCTAGTGTGCATTCTTCTCTACCTCTAAAAATGGCTTATAACTCGTATGAACATATTTCGTATTATACAATGTAAGTAGGGTCTTAGAATAGATTCCGGAACTAGTATAACTGTTAGACCTAAGTTCATGTAAGATATTGAGCTAATAGAGTTAATCCTACGTTAAACATCAAGTCCCAGCTCGCCTCTTAGCAAATATGTTTTTTATTCAACCACTTCCTTTCCTTCTCGCCCTCCTTCTCCTTACTTCACAGCCAAGAAGCTGCAGTCCTCTGTGAGTTCCACAGGCAGCTTGAAGCGCCACAATGCCGCCACTGTTGCCTCTAGCTGTGCTGCCTCCGCGATGCTGCCACAGCACAGCGCGCTGGCTCAGGAGCTGCTGCCCTCAGCACCCGGCTCACCCATTCCTAGACACATGTGCTCCAAGGCCTCGAATATGCCAACGCCCAAGGGCTCGCCGCTGCGTCGTCCGCATGGCTCGACGCCAGGCGCAGCGCTGGAGCAGCTGGAGGCGGGCATGCGACAGATCACCGAGGAGCAGTGGATCGACGGACCACGCGTCTCGCGGGCCAAGGTGGCCGAGGCACGGCATCTGATGCGCGAGGTGAACCACGTGAAGCAGTGCGAAACGTGGGTCGATGGACCCAAGTCCCAATCGAGCCGCTCCCTGACAGCGGGCAATCTGCCAACGGCTGCCCCGACGCAGGGCTACGGCTTTATGGATGCGCATAAAAAGACAATGATCAGACAGTGGGTGGAGAATCAGACCTCGCAAGTCTTCCAGGGTGCGGCCAGCGTCTCGGCGAGCAGTTCACCCACAGCGCTGCATCTGAAACTCTCCCAGCTCAAGCAGAAGTCACTTGACCTGCCGGAGCGACCTCTGTTCCAGCCAGAAGCCCTGCCGGAGCTGCCTCAGTGCCTGGATAGTCTTCCGCTGCTGGGCAGCTGTCCAGATGCCCAGCCCGATGGCGATGATCAGGACAGCGGTCCGTCGGAGGTGCCGCCTGCGCTGCCGCTCCTAGACGATCCTCTGGGCTCCCGGGACATCTCCCACGACAGTCTGCATCGCATGCTCTCCAGGCACGAATCGGAGCTGGCTGTCAGTCGTGCCTCCTCGCAGCATCCGTCGCAGCGCAGCATCGACTGTGGGCTACAGGTGACGGAGGAGGAAATCGCTCGCACCATGGCGCGCAGTGAAAGGGAGAGGGAACGCGATAGGGAGAGGGAGAGGGACAGGGATAGGGAGCGAGAGCGTGAGCAGACGCATCCCTTGGCCGCGCTTAGTCACTCCGACAATTTATCCTTCGTGTCCAGCTTCAACATGGCCTGCGAGTCCTTCAGTGAGTGCGGAGAACGCGCCAGGTGAGCAAACTTATTGATAAGAAGTTATTCCCTTATTTCGATTATCCTGTGAATCGGTTTGCAATCGATATATTAATGTTGTACTTCAACCGATCCTTCCCTGCTCGGATTCCTCCCTTGCAGACATCAATTCGATCAGCTGGCCCGCCTGCATGAGATCTTCACCTCGCAGCTGGCCATGGCCGAGGTGACGCCCTCGTCGGCGCTCTACCGCACGGAGGTGGGCAGCGTGTTCAGTGAGCCCGCGTTCCGCTTCAATGTTGGCCAGAGCAGCGTTTGCAGCGAGCCCGCCTACCGTCTGACGCCAAGTCCACCCAAGCAGCCGTCGCACAGCCCGAGCCAGGGCTCGCTGCCCAGCTTGAACGGCATCATGGAGATAGCGGGCATGGACGACTATGCGCTGCTGCGCCAGCCGGACGGCGCCTCCGATCCCAGCCTGCCGAAGAGCGAGAAGCGCTTCGCGCCGCAGCACGACGACATCAGCGAGCTGGAGGAGAAGGAACGACGCAGCTCGCTGGAGGATGCGCAGCACAAGCTGAATGAGATTACGAATATACTGCCGCTGGCGGCGCAGTCCCGGCTGCCGCTGCTGCCACTCAATACCAGCTCGGAGGCATACGACAGTGGCCACGATTCCTCCACGCCGCGCACCTCCAAGCACTCGGGCATCTCGCGGAGGGCGGAGAGCGGCTATCACAGCGTGGCGACCGTGCGGGACTCGGACGAGAGTAGCTTTGCGTCGGGCATGTCGAAGAGTCAGCGGCATCGCATCACCATTCCGGGTGGCCATTATCAGCGACACGGCAAGAAACGCCAGCGGCAGGAGGGCAACAAGGGTCTGTGCAATTGGTTGCTCCATCCGTTCTCCTGCACCTATCCAGAGACTGAGGGCGAGATCAGCGACTTCTAACTCCGAACGGAGACCCCCCACCAAAACGAAATTCAACCAGTGAAAACATATGAGAGATACAAGGCCAAAGAATTTGTAAGCACACACACACATACACATCAACCAGACATATATTGAAGCAAAGGAAAACCAGCGACTGATTAACTTTTACTTGGCGCCGGCTGCCACAAACCAATTTTAAACGAAAAGGAAGAAGACGAAGCACACGACGAAGAGGAGGAAGCGAAACCTAATCTAATCTAACCCAACTACCTAATTATACCTATGCTATAAAGAAAGGCGCCATTAACACTCACACACACACATACAAACACTCACTAATACACGCATAAGTTCAAACGGGGCTTTAAATATTTTAAGTTGCCAGCTAGCATAATGAGAATATTACGCATTAGGTAGGGGTAGTCACGATAATGGAAGAAAATGAAAAAAGTGAAGGTTGAAAAATACTTTAATCAAAGTCCATGACGTGAGTTGACTAAATGTCAAAAAAGAAAAAAGAAAGCACACATTTTTGATAGAGTGACATGAGTACATCTGCTATTTTATTTCAGGAACTGATTTCAGTGTTTTAACCAGGTAAAAAACAAAGTAATAATATTTTTAAATTGGTTATTTTATTTATTTTGCTAGTGGATATATGAATATATGAATATATTATATATATTTTATATATATATAATTATTTATTATATATTTTACGTATTTGCTTAGCTTTTATTTATCATTATTTAGTTTTATTTTCCTTATTTATGTACATGATTTTCAGTTAATTTTCTTTAAATAAAAAAAAGCGCATATTATAATAATATACAAACAAATACAAATATTATTTAAGTTTAAGCGCGTTTGCTAAGTTAAATGATATTTTTAAAATTCTATGATTAAAAACAAAAATTAATTAAAAAAAAAAAATCGCAAGACTTACCCCCAATAATCTGTAGCAAATAATTTAAATACAATGAAAAATTGGTTTTATGTTTTTTTATTCAAATTGTTCAGAACTGCTTTTATTATTTTTGTTATTATTTATTCGATTTATTTGTTTTATTTTATTTTTTTAAGCAACATGAGTTTCCTTTATTGTTTGCTTGTTTATCCACAATACATCGAATTAATATCTCTAATATGTTACCAATAGTAATATCAGCCTCATTGGTCGGAAAATTCATTTTTGCCAGAAATTTCACTTACAATTCTAATACAGTTTTTCACATGTCTTGACTACCCCTGCCGCTGCTATATAAATAATATAAACATATGTACTTAATCAGGCCACAATCACTACAACTTTACAAGTAAAAAACAAGCAGAGATACATTTATATACATATATCATATATATATATATATATATATTATACATACATTATATCATAGCTATTTATTGTTTATTTATTTATGATTTTGGTTTGTCGATGAAGAAGAAGAAGATTGATAAATTGTATGCTAAATGTTAAATGTTTGCTTATTCAAACAATTTATTGCCAATTATAAGTTACAAAAAAAAAAAATGAAAAACGAAATGAAAAAACAAAAATGTTTAAATTAATTGTTAGTTAGCTAAAGTTATACATCTACTAAAAACAAATTGTGTAAGACAAGGACAACAACAACCACGAAGAAGAAGACGAAGAGGAAGAACAACCAAGTAGACAAATGTTAAACATACAATTTTGTTGCCATTTTTGCCTAAATCAACTATGTTACAAAAACAAAAACAAACAAGAAAAAATAAAAATAAAAAAATTATATATATACATATATATATATATCGTATATATATATATTTATCAGAGATATTATATATGAGATGCAAATTTTATGAAGCTATTTAAATATAAAATAAATATGAATAAACGCAAACAAATATATATATACATATTATATATATATAAATCGCATAAGGCATGCATTAAGAAACGCACGCCTCAAAGCATGCAACACACAATTTTTCACATGAATAGCTAAATTTTTCGCATCGCACATAATTTATTTCCATTAAAAACAAAATATGAAAAAAAAGCGAATCACATTCCTTCATTGCCTTTTTAGTCGCATTCATCCATAAAAAAAAAATTTAAAAAAAATACAAAAAAAAACATAAATGAAAATCATAAACTTATTGAATTAATTAACAAAAGCGAGAATCAACTAATTATATTGCATTATTATATATTTCGTATTATTCCAATTATCCAAGCGTAGTAATCACCAAAAACAAAAACCAAAGGCTATACTTTAATCAACCCACACACATACCACAACCCCCTCACACCCCCTCCACCCTTGTTAATGAAACAAGATGAATATTACATATATACTATATATACAATATCATATATGATGATTCGTCGACTTCGACGCTGAATACAGACTAATTATTTTTTATAATATAAAGCAAATCGACATCTGGTTTTATTGCATTTTTATCGGGGCGGGGTGCGGGTAACTCGAATCGAGTCACAGTTGGCCGAAAAAAAATGTTGACATTTTATAGATAGATATATATATATATCAAAGCTCCACTGACACCCCCTTTAAGTAAATAGAGGTTGGGGCCTGAGCAATAAAACAAGCTAGAAAAGTAACGATTCCTTATTCGTGTTTTTGCGTAGAGTCGAACTGCCAAATACTCTTGAGGTAAGTTTTAAACGAATTACGAATTTTATGACTTGCAAACTAGTTGTGAAGAGGAACGGCATTCTATGGGGTGGAAATATCCTAAAAATGAGATTTAGAGAGTGCGCTATAAATATATATACATACATATAACAAATATCGTTTATAGTCGATTACAGGATTATTATTTTTTTTTAGATATTTTTCCCAATTCATATGAGCGCTAGTACTCTTCGACCTCAACAAATTAATATTATAGATGAAACGATAAAAGGGTACGAAATGGTTTGATACGGGTTTCTTTTTAAAGTAAGTATCTATAGATATCTATATTATTTTTACGACATTTCTTAAACGAAGCGCTAAAATGATTTATATAATATATTTAAACATTGAGTTAAGCTGACTCAAGTTTAGATAAGATATATGCGATTTATTTAATCTTCGCCAGCTTGCTCTTTACTGCTCTAAATGTCTCCAGATATGAACATTGAACTGCATTGTGGATTCTTTACTGAAACTGAAATACTTAATATATATATTAGAATTTTCCACAGCCCAAACGCTTCACATAGTTTTCCAAGCCATTTCGCTGGTTAGAGTATTTGGCGCAATAAAATTGTGTTGGCACCTTCTGGCAAATGCCACGCAACAATGCGACTACACTAAGTAGAGCTTCCACTTCACACACACACTTGCACACACACACACCCATGCACGCTGTCAACCCGCTACCCCCAGCCAACTCCCTTGACTTGCACCCCGCAGCGATTTTTCTTCGACTTCGCCTTTGCCTTCGCCTTTTGTCTGCCGCCTTTTTCGTGTCGCGCTGGCAAACGTCGCAATTTCTTTTGTACAACCCTCTTATCACGGCAAAACTTTAAAAACGAAAGAAGAAAAAAATTTATTCGCAATTCGCAGTCACAAATGCAAATGCTGCCACGCCCACACCCACACATCAACAGAGAGAGAGAAAGAGTGTGTGTGGGTGTGTGGGCAGGAGCAGAAGCAAGAGGCTGCCCGCCCCGACCGCGCGCTCCCTCGAAGTCTGCTCGCCATATGTTGCCAATTGAGGCGAAAATCGAAAAACGCGTCTATGCTGGATTGTTTATGACCCTAGAGGCAGCACGAGTCCAGGGATGCCGGGGCGGGGGCGGGGGCGGGGGCGGTGACGAGTGCCAGGGGCGTGGCAAGTGGCAGGTCCTTTGGCAGAACTTTCTTTTGCAGCAACAACAACAACAACCACTACTGGACCTGTCGCCTTTTAATTATGGCTCGCAAATTATTTTCGAATTTTTCATCAGGCTGCGGAAATAAATGTTGACTGCAATTTCCCTTCAAACAGGATGCCAAAAGGATTCGAACCATATTTTTCCCCTTTTTACCTGTTTTCCCATATTTATGTGTATTTGTATATATATATATATATATATATATATATATATATATATATATATATATAAATGTATGTGTGTATGTATTTAGCTGTTGGACGTTGCTTTGACGTGACCTAAAAAAATTATATTCACACTCACTTCACATCGTCAAGTTGAATAAAGCGACGCGGGCGGGATTTCTCCTGGAGTGAGAGAGAGGGAGAGAGAGAGAGGACTCAAATATGCATATATACTATACACATACATATATATGTACGTATGTATTTCTATATATACTCATTAAAATATATGTTCCACTTGCAATTAGAGTTTGTCATTTGGCAGCGTGCGAGTTAATCCAGACATTCGGATATTGTTAACAAGCCCGCATCCAGAATATAACACAGATGTCATACAGTTACATATATATATATTCATATATGAACATACATATGTATATGCATATACATATATAGAGTTTTTTCAAGTCTCACTGTGTCTGCCCCATTAGCTCTTTGCATATTAGAAATTTTCCAATTAGATTTTCATAAACTTAATACAAACAGAGAGTTAGCTATGAATAGGTAGAAAATCTAAGAGTAATAACGAGTAGAAGACAAGAGGAGAGAGGAGCAGACTAGAGAAGATAGGGAAAGAGAAAATAGAAGAGGGCAAACTTGAAAATAAAATGAGAGTAAAGAAGATAGTAGGGAAGAGATATAGAAGAAAAGAGCAGAAAAGAGAAGAAACGATGAGAAAATTGTAATTCATCTTGATCCGATGATAATCTAGCATTACCTATACCCTACCATATATAAATTGTCAGATGTAGGAAATAGCAGAAATGCGGATAGGAGTAAGGAAAAGGGAACAGAAGAGGAGAAAAGAAGAGACAGAAGAAAAATAGAAGAAATTAAGAAAAGGAAAAGAGGAATAAAGAAAGCTAAAGAAAGTGATTTGATTCATCTGCTTCTTTTTCCTCTTATTCTGCCTTAAGATGTAATCCAATGCTACTCTACGAATACCTCCTAATAACTCCTAATAAGAAGAGAGAAGAGAATTCATTTTTCTTTAAGATATAATTTTATGATACTTTAGTATTGCCTATGTGTATTTTTGTTATTTTTAATCTAATTGCCTTTCAGCCATTGATCAGACTGAAATTCAGTTAACCAAAATTATTTATGTAGCTCACTCGCTATGAGCGAACCCGTCTCGAGCCGTGGGCGTCGGTTCATCTTCAATGCCGTCCTATTGACAACATCCGGTCTGGCGGCCCGTAAGCTGAGTCTGGAGCAGCAGCCCTTCGCGATGGTCGCCT